GTTTTTTTTCGCCTCATACACACGCATGGTTCGGAGGAAAATTCTTTTCCCTTCCCCATGGACAAGAAGAAATAAAGAAGAACAAACTATTTAGAAAAAAAAGAAAAAACCCGTGTAGTAATATAATATAGCATGTGCGGTCTGGAAATGTGACCAAAGGGGGAAGTAGGATGCAAAATATTTCCCGTTATCTGCGTGTTTATAACGAAAAAAACCACAATCCTACCACAGCAAAACAGTTACAGGTTTCTGTTTTTCCCGTCATCTGGCAGGACGGTGTACTTTCCCCGGGGGAGTTGCTGTCTACCAACCTACTACCATAAAAATATATAATTTTAAAAAAATTATATATTTTAAATTATATAAAATAAATAATATTATATATATTTTATATATAATATATATAAATATTATATATATATATATAATATAATAATAATATATATATATAATATATATATTACATGCCCCCGGTTAAAGTATTTTTTCACTCCCAAAATATGTTCAGGTGCCACTACTCCGAATTTGTTCCCATAGGGAATATTTTGAAGTAATTAGCCCCATTTCAGACCCCCAAACGTACACGTACAAACGCACTTACATAATACACTTACATAATTGGTATATTATATATATATATATATATATATATATATATAAATTCATAAATTAACATAAATATTTTTTTATTGGAAACTTTTACACATAAATATTATGTATAATTATGAATATATATATATATATATATATATATATATATATATATATATATATATGTATATATATAATATATATATTATATATATATATATATATATATATATATATAATATATATATATATATATATATTTTAATATATATATATTATATATATATATATATATATATATACATGTAAATATATATATATAATAGTATATATATATATATATATATATATATAATAATAAATATATATATATATATATATATATATATATATATATATATATTATATATATATATATATATATATATGCATGCATGCATGCAATAAGATCACAGTAAACAGGTGATTTCAGAATATGCAAAACAATCACTCTGAAAGAATAGAGAAATTCCAAGCGCTTTCGTGACTACTCACATTATCAAGGAACTATGAAAGTAAAGCATCCAAGGAAGCTATATAAGGGGTCTGGCCAACACCTCACTATCAGATCCCACAACGGTTAAACACCTGACGCGCGCCGGCCCAACTGGACAGGTCCTTTGCACAACTCACCAACAAACTATTCTACCCAAGAAAATTTAAAAATTATTATTTGTCCAGTGTATTAAATTCTTCCCCAAATTCTATTAATTATAAATGGATCTAATTTATATAAACCAAAGGAAAAATATTCATATTATTGTCAAAACTGCTTTTTATGAAACAAGATTCATTTATATTCCTGTCGACCAGGGACTTTGCTTGATACTACTTTCCGCTTTTTGAAAATCAATTGGATGGTTTAAAATTCTTTACATGAATAAAAAGCATTGGAATCTTGTCCAGTTCTGATGCAATATTATGTTGTTTAATCTTAGTTCGAAAATTTTACCATTTGACCGTAATAAACTTTAATCGCAAATTTTACAAGGAATCTTATAGACACATCCATCAGCATTTGGGGGAATTCTTTATCAAAAGTTTTTTTACTGTATCAAGATTTTTGAATACAACTTTAATTTTAAAAAGTCTTAAGAAGAGAAGGCATATCAACCAAGTTTTCATGGTAAGGGAGAACCAACATTTTTTTTAGTTGAATAAGGCGGGTTTTGTCCCTTTTTGGATTGTAAAAAGATTTCTAGCAACTTAAAAGATTTATCAATTACTTTTCCCTTGGGTATTTTAAAATCATTACCTATTTCAATAAATTTGGATATTTCCTCATCAAACAACTCAGGACTACAAATTCGTAAAGCTCTCAAAACATTGATAGAAAAACAGACAGTTTGACTCTATCTTGATGCGAGGAATAATAGTGGACATAGGAAAACAGTTATTTTGTAGGTTTTCTGTAAATTTTAAATTTGAATTCATTAATTACCCTTAATAATTAAAACATCTAGAAAAGCAATGAGTTTTTTCTTCAAACTCAACAGTAAAGTTTATAGAAGGGGTAAACTATTTAATTTTCCAAGGAAATGGTGTATATCTACATTTTTGGGCATAAGACACAAAATAACATCAACATACTGAACCATTTAGCTCTATTTGGAGGATTGTTTAAGCAACCTAAAAATTCCGTTTAAATTGGGGGCCAAGGGGTTTTTGTCAAAATTTCTTTTTTTATATTTATAAATGGTGTTGATTTTTGGTTTGGGGGTTTCTTTAAAGTGTTAGACTAGGGAAAATTTGCTCCTTGCGAAAAATTTTAAAGTTTGGTTCTTTTTTTTAACGAAAGTTCCTGTTTTTAATTTTTTCAACCGTTAATGATTTCCGGGGATTCTTTTTAAAAAACTTATTAAATGTGTTTTCAAAATTGATTTTGAAAGTTTCTCGGTTTGGTTGGCAAAAATTTTTTTGTTTTAGCAATTTCCGTTTTTTTAAAAAAAGGTTTTAAATTCCCCAAAGGAGGTTCAATTTTTATTTTGTGTCTAATGCAGGGTTTTTACCATTTCTGGAAAATAATTTCTTGTCTAAATTTTTTAGTTGAAAAATTCCTTGCTTTCCAGGTTTTAATTAAAAAAAATTTTTTAAATTAAATTTACAAACCTAAAAAGTTCCTGTCCCTATTATACCTCCATATAAAGAAACCTGTTTTCTCATAAATGTTTTGAGAGCTTTACGAATTTGTGTCCTGAGTATTTCAAGATGATGGAAATAATCCAAAATTTATGAAATAGGTATGATTAAAATGATTTAAAATACCAAAGAAATGTAATTGATAAATCTTTTAAAGTTGCTAGAAATACTTTTTACAATCCAAAAAGGGACAACCAGCCTTATTCAACTAAAAATATGTTGGTTTCTTCCCTTACCATGAAAACTTGGTTGATAGCTTCTCTTCTTAAGACTTTTAATATTAAGGTTGTATTTAAAATCTTGATACAGTAAAAAAAACTTTTGATAAAGAATTCCCCCCAAAATGCTGATGGATGTGTCTATAAGATTTCCTTTAAAATTTGCGATAAAGTTTATTACGGTCAAACTGGTAAAAATCTCGAACTAAGATTAAAACAACATAAATATAGCATCAGAACTGGACAAGATTCCAATGCTCTATTTATTCATGTAAGAGATTTAACCATCCAATTGATTTCAAAAAGCTAGAAAGTATATCAAGCAAGTTTCCCTGGTCGACAGGGAAAATAATTTAACCTTGTTTCATAAAAAGCAGTTTTGACAATAATATGAATATTTCCTTTGGGTTTTTATAAATTGTTTTAATTTTAATTAAAAAGAATTTTAAAAAAAATTTAAAAAAAAGGACAAAAAATAATTTTTAAATTTTTTTTTGGGTAAAAAAGTTTTTGGTTGGTTTTGCAAAGGACCTGTCCTTTTTTCGGGGGCGGTCAGGTGGGGTTTAAAAAGTTTTTGGGATTTTGAAAAGTGGGGGTGTTTCCGACCCTTTTATAAAAACCCCCGGTTTCTTTTCTTTCATAGTTCCTTGATAAAGTTTATAGCACGAAAACACTTTGGGAATTTTTTCTATTTTTTCAGAGTGGTTGTTTTTTCATATAAATAAATAAATATAAATTATACAGTTGCTAAAATTATCATGGGATACAGCATATGTAAAGATTACTTAGGATAACCCAAAAAAGTTTAGACAATTTTTCCCCTGGGGTCCTTTACCCCCTTTTTGTTGTTGGGGGTTTTTAAGGGCCCCTTATCCCTTTTATATGTTTTTTGGGGGGGACCCTGTTTTCTGGGCCTTTATTTTGGTTCTAACAGCTGGTTTGTGTTGGGGAAAAAATGGCTTTTTAGGTTTTTTGTTGTTTTTGGGTCCCCAAGCACGGATCCAAAAGTGGGGTTCAAGAAAGGGTTAGCAAGTAAACAAGAGGGTTCTAAGAGGGTTGGGGGATTTAATTAAAATTTAAACATTTAAAAACTGCGTCTCATGAATTTTTTCTGCTCTTCAAAAATCAGGAAAAGGGTTCAATGCCTGCCACACTTAGTTACAAAAATTTTTTTATTTTTTTTTTGGGAGGGAAAGAATGTTTTTAAAAATTGGATTGAAAAAATGCAGCAGAAAACTCAAAAGATAACCCCAAAGTATTGTTGGGCAGCCTGTCCATCACTAAAAAAGGGTTTTACCTTGTCAATTTCCCTTTCACTGTACTGTCAAAAGTTGGCCAAGGGGTGACCCCCAAATACACACTTTGGGTTTTCCTTTTTAGTTTTATATTTTTATTCATCAATTCCGTCTTTTTGCAAGCAGCTGAGCAGCACTGCAAAACAGTGGGAAAAGGCCTTTATTTTTATAATTGCACCTTCCCTGTGGCTTTAAATTTTCTTTGAAAAATTTTGTTTACCCTGAGGTGAAATTTTTTCCCTAAGACCATTTAAAAAATTTTTGAATTTTACCTTTTTTATAAATTGGAAAGGGGGGTTTTATGGAAAGTATCAAATGGGGGACCCCCGGGGGTTTTTTGAGACCCCTCAGCTTTGTATGGATTGTAGTAAGAATGCCCTTTGAGGTTTCTGTGTTCGTGAGCATGTAGTCACGTTAAAAAATTTTCAACATCACCTGGCTCCACATATATAATATACTACAAATGATGTGTGAGAAAATCATAAGGATTTACACACTTAAACTTTCCCTTTTGTAGTGGTATTGTACAGAAAGAATAATTATTAATTTTAATGCTGAATAAGGTTATCAATTTATGCTTTAATAGTTTGCCATTCTTCCACATAATAATAAAATATAAATACCATTGTCCAAAAATAAAATATAAATACCATTGGACAATTACAAACAATCATGAATTTATTATAATCTTGTTATTTAACACCGTTTCTTTTTTCAGTCATTTCAGGGAAGTCAAGGCCGGGCCTACCTTTTCAATTCTGTGTGAGTATAGTGACTGCTTATTAAGTTATGGATTTGTGTAAATTGATAAATAAATGATCATAGTATCTGGTAACCAGTGTTAGACAGAAATCACTATACGTATTGAAATATGATGGTCATTTTTTCTTATGGTCTTCTTTCTGGCTAGTGTGTGAGTTACACTCTGAAAAAAAGCTGGATTTTACAGTTGGGTTTGTTTTAGCCTGAGGATCTCTTAGACAGCAAAATGTTTTAGCATAGCATTGTAAAAGAAGTTCCACACAGTGTTCCTTTCAAGGAGGGGCTTGATGCTAGTCAAGGACATGGTTTAAGGAATTGGAGCTGCTCTTTCTTTCCTTGGATCAACCCCCCTTTCTACCCCTTCTATTCCCCAGGTGCTATATCACCCTTACAAATTTATCGCTTCCTCATGAATATAATGATAATAAGAAGTCACACAGTTTTGACAGTTTTGTTCAGACTTATTCTTCTTTAGTGCCTTGTATTTTGTCTGAAAATTTAGAATGATAAATTATGTAATTTGTTAGTGTATACTGTCATGATCTAGTAATGCACAATAAAAGCTAATATATTGAGATACATACTCAAGTTTAATTATTTATAGTGTGCATGTTTAATTTTTCTCCATAGCAGTCAGTCTTTGCAGTGAAATGATGTACTCTTGGTTTGTTTTAATCATGGTATGGACTTGGAAACCTTAATAGAAAATTACAGAAAACTAACAGATGCAGACAGATGTATGCACTTACATCACCACTACACTAAATCCTTATATTTGGGCTCATTTATAACTTCCTTCAACCAAAGGATGCACATTGTTTCAGGTATATAAATTTTTTTTTAGGTTTGGACAGTGCCACTCTTTGAGCAAACCAGATGTATTTGACTGCAGTGATTGTAACTCAGTAGTGAAGGTACTAGTCACTTTCAACTTGAGTCTGGTCAGAATTCAACCCTTCAGTGGTAGTTGATGTTATGTGTAGAATAATAAAAGTCACAATACCGTGGCTGCAATAATTCACAATTAACCAACAAATAAATCTATAAATGCCGCTGGACAATGTGTCCTGGACAATTATCAAGTCGTGACTGATAACTGTCCAGGGCAGGCTGAAAAATCATAAGGTTTACCTCCAGTTTGTGAGTTAGTTTGAATGTTATACGTATCTCTTAAAACCTTTTCTGGCAAGCAAGTCTCAGTTAATATGTGCCAAGGGTTGAAGACTTAGCAGACATCTCCATTATCTCTCTCGTATCAGAAACTTTACTCAAACATGTACAGATTTGTTATACCATATGCAGTACTGAACTGTACCTGAGCATGCAATTTTAGGGTTCAAATATTATTTACTGGAGCGTAATTTCTTGTTTTATAATTAATTGCAAAGTCATGAATTTCTATCCATATGGTTGGTGAAAGATCTTGGAATGAGAATTAACTCTGACACAGTGCTCTACAGAACTGTACATTACAGTTAATAACTTGTTTTGTTCAATTTCTATACATGTTAAAGATTCAAGTTATTATTATTATTGTTTTAATGTATTAGATGGATGAATTGCACCTACAGTACATATTGCTATTGTAGTTTTCAATACAATCATTTTTAAGTACAGTAGACCACCACCTTTTGTGTCTCGACCTACCATGTTTCCGCTCATTCTCAATTTATTTTTTTGTATCTGTTTCTACCTTTTGCCCCGAAGGTTCACCACCTTTCATGACGGCTCTACCCATGCCCACCTTGTGCTCCAACATGGCTAGCCATTGTGGCAGTACAGGTGGGCCAATTCTCCGGACCTCTTTGGTTTCATGGTAGACCTAACTTTATTGAACCCCCCCTCCCACACACTGTCCACTTGTCCACACTGTGAGAGCAACTATCAGGGTCCTGATGCTCCCCATGTCTTAAATTTCTTGTGATCCATGAGAATGCCTTATCTTATTATAAAACAGTGATTAGCAGGAAGGAAAGCCTGCAAATGGATGGTTTCACCATTTTCAAGCTTGCAATAAACTTCATAATGTAAAGATGAGTGATGAGAGTGCCTCTGCTGACCACACAGCAGCAGAGAATATTTCTGGTGTGGCTCTACTGGACTACAGCAAGCCTCTCCACTGAGGTCAGCCCACTTAAGCAGGAGCAGCTTGACTTTATTAGGTTATGCTAGAGTTAAATCATCTGTTATACTGTAATACAGTAAGGCCCCACTTATACAACAAGTTAGGTTCCAGGCTACTGCCGGAAAGTGGACATCGCCGGAAAGTGGAACACCGTTTTTTCCACTTACAAATGCATATGAATGCCAGATAACAAGTTTACACTAATGTATATTAAGTTAGCAACAGGACTAGGCATTAAAAACAATAAAAAGTAAAATACACACACAGTACACCCATTACAGTGGACCCTCAGTTAATGATATTAATACAGTCCAGTGAGCTTGTCCTTAACCGATTTTATCATCATCTGAATTAATTTTCCCCATAAGAAATAATGGAAATCCAATTAATCTGTTCCAGACACCCAAAAGTATTTTTTTTCACATGAAATGTACATTTTCCTACACAGAAAACAATGAGACATGCAGAATAAATACATTAATAAATATCATCATCATCTGGGTTGGCGGCAGCGGCAGCAGCAACTTCCAAGCTCCGTACTTTTCTCCAACAATCAGAGCTACCAATGCTCCTATGATGACCTAGTTACAAGCAAAACTGCACTACCCAACGTAGCACCCAGAATGACCAAAGATTACCAACAGTGAAACCTACAAATCGAAAATAATAGAGATCAAAGGAAAGACTGGCCACAAACCAAAAGAAACACCCCGTGCCAGCCGAACAACGTAACCCTTAGCTTTGTATAACTTCAACTCTTCTTAGCTACAACAATTCCTGTAGTATTATGAGGCGCAATATCTAGAGGAAAACAGCACCAAGGCCAGCACAGAAAACACCGAAAAATCAACTATTCACAAGTGTAGTACAGGAGGACGCCGACCAGCCAACCACCCCACTCACCACCGCTCAAGGCGACACGCAACATACAACAACAGGCTGCCACCAGCCCATCCTCCCCTCTCTTCACCGATTCAACTACCCAAGTGTCTCAAGGTATGACAACGATCGTACCTAAAATCACTACCATCTCCAAACTTAGTTATTGAAAATATGAATCCTCGAGAGATGCTAACAAACAAGACACAGGATGACACAACTCGAGAACAAAATCCTCGTTCGAACAAAAGTTATGAACACCAGGAATGACTAACTGTGACAAGACCTCCAGACAGTCATAGATAGCCATACCCAACAAATATTATCTTTAATACAAAGGTTGAAGATGCAGTAATAGATGGAAAAGAACAACTTAGATAACCAGTTCAGTGCTACTTTAATCTCCCAAGAAGATAAAAAACTGAGCAAGGTAAACTATCGGACGCAGTAGTAATAGTAAACAGTCCACTTTTTTCCCAGTGATATGAACCAAAAAACAGTAAGAAAGAAATTAATAACAAAAAGGCACAATACCTGACTGAACGATACCACAAATAACCCGCACATAAAAGAGAGAGTTACGACGACGTTTCGGTCGACTTGGACCATTGACAAAGTCAGTGGTCAAGTGGACGAAACGTCGTCGTAAGATTCTCTCTTTTATTTGCGTGTTATTTGTGAATAGTAAAGAAATTACTCTGCAGATCATAAAGGACCAAAAAGTGTTATTGTAACCAGAGTCAGAAAATAAAAGAAAGCCAGGTTACTAGGATCCATGGTAGAAAAGTGTTATGCTAGATTCCATCACATGACAGGAAAAAAGAATTAATTTATTGCATCTATTAAAGTAAAAAGAAAGAGGGATACATAAACGAGTGTCTTACCAAAAAACGTCAGAACCTCCTTTATAGAGTCAGAAAACTTAAGCGGGAGAAATAATGACACAATACACAATGCTTCCAGAGATGGAAAATTCTGTTTGGAAAACAAATGTAGGTGTTTATGTACCCACAATAACGAACGAGAATGATCTATCACTATTTCTCAGGGATACTAATCACAGAGAATAACTAATCAATGTCCAACAAAGCCTACGTATTTAGTGAATGTTTTGCTCCATTATTGTTCAAATTTCATTGTACAATCTCTTAGTAATTACCCCCCACCATAATCAGCTACCTCATTTTGTGATTTTACTAGTAAGCATAAGTCACCTTATGTAATTTTCTTATTTTTACTATTGTTTGCTTAAACATTAGCTGAATTGATACTTTCTTGTCCATATTATTACCTCATATTTTTTAAAATACTATCAGTTGATATACTTACTAAAATTATAATTATAATTTTTACTTTAATTTAATTTACTCTTAACATTTTTGTGAACATTTAATAACTATTACTTGTCTAATTTCCTTTACCTGTTTTTAATACCACATTACTATCTTAGAGTACTCTTAATTACCTTGTATGCCATTATAACCTCTAGTATAACTACCAGTGCATATTGAATGAATTAACATACTTTTTCACTTTTTTGTAATCATTATTACTTTCTAAAATTTTATTAAACACCATTATTTACTACCAGTCAATTTTACTTTTGTACATTAAACATTATTTTATACTTCCATAACATTTTGTTGCCAAATTTTCAGTTATGTATATTCAACTCCAACCTTTTTATATTATCCTGTGTACCTGCTGTACCTGTTCTACCTTCTTTACTATCATATTTAACCAAGACATTTCCCTTGTTATTTTTTTAATATTATTATTTTGCTTACTTTTATTGTTGAATTATATTTTGTCAATTTAAAATCTAGTTTTACTCCTGATCTTTATCAAAAACAACCTATACCAGACTCTAGTGCAATTGCAAGTACCATTTCAATTCGTATTTTGTATATTATAAGTTTGTATTTATAATTCCTACTCTAGATTGTTTTCATATCTTAGTGAATATATTGTGTGTGCAATTAGTGTATTTTTCAAT